CTTCTAATTTTTATTTCCTGTCTGCTATCACTAGAATGTAAGGAGCATGATGTTAGGGATCTTGAAATCAACGCTGTAGTCACAGAACCTAGAACAGTATAGATCTGTCCATCACGACGAAACTGCTTCCCACCGATGGCGCGCTGCGTCCTTCACATACAAGGAGCCGCGGGCGCTCAGTTCTCACGAGTGCTCACGCTGGAGACTGTCAGTTCTCACCTCAGTTTCTCTACCATCCTCACACAACTCCGCACTCACCCTCTTCAACGCAGCACCGCTTCCAACCGTCCGGCTGCGAGGAGCCACGAATGTGGAGTGCGACTGGCCACGCACCTCGCCGCCATGCGGCCAACGCGGAGTGTGCAACAATCTTGTAGATTTCTTAAAAACCCAACTAATTTCACAAAGCTGCCATTTTCCTATTTATTTTTCTGAAAGACAGAGTAACAATTTATATTTCTACACAGTCCCCTTAGCTAAAAGATTTTCTGGTCCAGATCATTTGGCCATTTCAATAGAGCTAGAATTGAGTTCCTGAGTGTCTATGAGCGTTCCGATGTCCTGAGACCTTTGTAAATTTAGTTAGCCACAAGACAAAGAGAATTAAAAGAATGGCAATTAAGTTTTTCTATGGGCAAATAGCAGAAGAAGCAGGGACATTTTTCCTAAGGAACTGGGCACTCACTCTTCCATTTATAGTTAATTTATAAACAGATTAATATTTTATAAGATAGAAGTCTCTATAACCCTGACATTCAAATGCCTCCTTATCATTGCTATGAAGCGGGAGCAAGAGCCAATTATTTGTGTTGCATATTTTCCACAATCCTGTTTTCAAGGATACTTAACATTTATGAAGTCACTAAACTGTCCAAATCCAAAATATTCCCATATTCTCTGCAGTGATCACATTGCACCACCCACACTACCTAAAAATACCCTGCTCTCCATCACTCAATAGAACCCCAAAGGCCAATAGAAGATAATAATCCCTAGATAGCTTCCCTTTTGTACATCTACAGTTTCCTAGGATCAATTAGATTCAAGAAGACTGGAGATGGGAAATGAAAGAAATAAAATTCAGGCCACACAACCTTATCTGAATCCCACAAATAGCACTCACAAGCAACAACTGGTGAGAAAAGATTTCAACCATGGAAGCCTTTCCTGCCCTGAACTCAAGTTAATTATTATCCATAATCCGTCATTAAGTTATCACTCAAGAATGTTTCCCTCCTTTTCTCAGTGGAAATACATAGAAGATAGTCTTAACTTATCTCAGGGCACAGGTCAGTATCCATGGACCGAGGGAAAGGCAAATCTAAATATACTTATGGTAGAAATCATCTCTTGTTCTAGACAGATTTTTTTCTAATCATCAAAATTGGGACCGGCATTATGGAGCAGAGGGGTAAGCCACCGCCTATGACACCAACATCCCATACACGTGCCAGTTTGAGTTCCAGCTGCTCCATTTCCAATCCAGCTCCCTGGTAATGCCCCTGGGAAAGCAGTGGAAGATGGTCCAGGTACTTTGGCCCCTGCACTCATGTGAGAGACCCAGATGGAGCTCCTGACTCCTGGCTTCAGCCTGCTAAACCCTGACTATTGTGGCCATTTGGGTAGTGAACCAATGGATGGAAGATCTCTATCTCTGACTCTCCCTCTAGCTCTGCCTTGCAAATAAAAAAAATAAATCTTTAAAAATAAGTAATCAGAAATAAATAAAACATTTTATAAATTTTCAGAAATGCTCAGATATTTCTCTTGGCACCTGATTCCATTCAGTGCCCCTAATTTAGAAGTCTGAGTGGTTGATGGCCTTATGTGATAGTCTCTGCAAACATGACAGCCTTTTCAAATGAACCTTGCTATTGTCTTGTTATTAACTGCAAATATTCTTCACTATCCTAACATATATAAAACCTAGACAGATCCAGAAAACTAAGGCTCAAAAATGTCAAGGTATTTCTTTTTTTTCCGCAGAAGGGGTTGAGGTGGGAAAGGTTGACTAGGTTAGCAGTCTGGCAGAGACGAAGGCAATGAGTAGAAAATGGCAGCCAACTCTCTACCAAAGGGCTAGCAATGTCTGTGGCTCAGCCGCTTCAGAAGAAGAAACCAAGCCCCCTCTCCTTTCTTACAGGAATGCCTACTCTCAAAGAACAGACTGCCTTCAGAAATACAGTTTTCAAAGACAATACCTAGGGGCTGCCTGCATCCCATATTGGTGTTCCTGATTTGATTCCTGCTTTCTCCATTTCTAATCCAGATTCCTGCTAATGCACACCTTGGAAGGCAGCAGATAATGTCTCAAGTGCTTCAGTCTCAGACATCCACATGGCAAACTCAGACGGAGTTCTAGGCTCCCAGCTTCTGCCTATTAGAACCCAGTTGAGATGGGCAATTTGGGAGTGAACTAGCAATTGGAAGAGCTCTCTCTCTCTCTCTCTCTCTCTCTCAAATAAAATGAAAATAAATAAAAATGGGTTAGGGAGGTGGTGTTGTGGCATGGTGGGTTTGACTGTCATCTGTGACACCAGCATTCCATATGACAGCCAGTTTGTGTCCCAGCTGCTCCACTTCCAATCCAGCTCCCTGCTAATGGACTGCAAAAAGCAGCGGAAGACAGCTCAAGTGCTTAGGCCCTTGCCACCCATGGGGGAGACCCAGATGAAGCTCCTGGTTCCTGGCTTTGGCCTGGCTCAGCCCTGGCTATTGTGTCCATCTGGAAAGTGAACCAGCAGATGGAAACACACTCTCTCTCCTTCTCTCTCTCTCTCTCTCTCTCTCTCTCTGTGTGTGTGTGTGTGTGTAACTCTAGCTTTCAAACAAACAAATAAATCTTTTAAATAAGTTTTAAAGCACAGACTCTACATCTAGATCAAGCACATCAGCATCAACAACATTCCTAGTGGGATGTGAGCTCCCAGTGCTCCTTCATGTAAGAAAGGCCAGTGGTCTTTTGTTGCTCTTCAAGAATGGGGCAATCTTAACCCTTCAACACTGACTGTTCACCACTACCACCAAATGACACCTTGTTTAAAAGTGCATCTCCAAGTGCCTGTAACAGGTACTCATGCAAGGCTGGTGTCTATTCTCTTCTCCCAGTGGCACTGCTTTCTCCTTTACAACTAAAATCAACAGTATGCTGGGAAAAAATTTATCTGCATTCTTAAGGCTTTAAAAAAATCAAAAGAAATAGGAGGTAAGGAACTATATAAATGAAGAGACAAAAGAGAAGTGGAGGAGGGGAGAAAGGCATGTGGGAAAGAATGGAAGGGGAGGTGGCAGGGAGACGCATGGTGAACTTGATGGGTTTGTTATTTCAAAAAGCATGTTCATTCCAGTAAAATAATGGATGAGGAAAACATTTTCATTTTCTTTTCTGACAGCTGGAGCATAAACAGTTGCTGCAATAATATCAGAAATTATTGGACATTTTGAGCATTCTTGCCAGTGAGAAATCAGCATTCCAGCCAGTTTGAAATAGCAGCCCCAAGGTGCCCTAGAAATTTTGTTTTTCAAATAAAGGCATGTCAGCTGCTGGACAAAAAGTGATGTATACAGTCTGCTGGGCAGCATTCTGGCCAGACACCAAATTTGGAGAGTGTCTCCCTGTACTCTGGGTTCTAGCGCAGTCATCCTTTACAGCCGGTGCTGCCCCCATGAATAAGACTCTATTCCAAAGACCAAAAATGAAAGCAGCGTTTAAGATCCATCAGCCCAAAACAAAACAATTCTAACTTGTCACCTCTAAAATACTTCAAGAGGCTGGAATAGAAGTACTTTTGAATCAGCTGCAATCTAATACATAAATGTAACTACTCCAATCACCTGCTTCTGAAAGAAGCAGCAATCTGAATCAAGAAGTTGGAAAGGTAGGGGCCAGCCTTGTGGCGCAGTGGGTTAAGCCACACCTATGACACCAGCATCGCATATGGGAGCGCAGCTCCAGGGGAATGCAGCAGGAAATGGCCCAAGTTCTTGGGTCCCTGCCACCCAAATGGGAGATCTGGATGGAGTTCCTGGCTCCTGGCTCTGGCCTGGCCCAACCCCTATTGCTGCAAGCACTTCAGAATGAACCAGTAGATGGAAGATTTCCTCTCTCCCTCTCTCTCTCTTTCTCTCTCTCTCTCTGTCACTCTGCAATTCAAAGAAACAAATCTTTTTTAAAAAACTGGTATGACAAATATTTGGCCCAAATGGATTTTTAAATGTACTGCTGACAGTAGAGACTCCTGATCTTATACTAAAAAGCTACCAGCAAATATTTGAGACTGACCTGCATGCACTAACACTAATCAGCAGGAAGCATTACTGCCCCCTGAAGCCTTCCCTGTGTGATACCCTCTGTGCCTGAGTCCAAATTTACCCACTCTACATTTTTAAAAAAGATTTATTTGTTTATTTGGAAGGCAGAGAGGGAGAGAGGGAGAGGGAGAAAGAGAGACAGAGAGAATCTTCCATCCACTGGCTCATTCCCATATGGCCACAATGGCTATAGTTATGCTGAGCCAAAACCAGGAGCCTAGAACTCCATCCAATCTCCTATGAGGGTTGTAGGGGCTAATTTCTTGGGCCATCTTCTGCTGCCTCCCCAGGCACATTAGCAGGGAGCTGGATCAGAAGTAGAGCAGTAGGAATTCAAACTGGCACCCATATGGATGCCAGCATCACAGGCAGTGGTTTAAGCCACATCTTCACAACACTGGCAGCAATTCTACACTTTTTTTTTTCCATGAAATACCTATGAACTTCTCCATAGAAAAAAGATCCATGAAATTTTTCCATTATTATAATCCTTAAACCCATCTGAGGACAACGACTGTTTTTTTATTTTATTTAATGAACATAAATTTCCAAAGTACAGATTATGGATTACAATAGCTTCCCCCCTCAAATCTTCCCTCCCACCCACAACATGACAATGACTGTTAAAAGAGAAATATTCTACAAACACAAAAATTTCACACCACCTAGAGTTTCTGTGTATTGCACCTTGGTAGCCATTGACTATTTCCTATTCCTCACAGGAATGTCCATATGTATCTTTAATAGTCTCTGAAGATGTAACAGAAACAACATATCCCTATCTTGAATATGTGTAAATCATTAGAATCCTTAGCAGTAAACAAGAAGTAGCATGGACAGGGGCTGGGAGACGTGGTGAAAATCCCATGGATGTCGCTGTACCAGAGCACACTTTGCAGAACTGGGTTTCAACAGTGAAGCAGAAGGGGAAAATTGGCATGAGTTAAAAAAAAACAGTGATTTCTCTATCCATTTCCTTGGCAGTTACTGAACGGTGTACTGTTTGGAATGAAGTTTATTTTCTTTGACTGACTTTCTGATTAATAATATTGCAGTACAGTGATTATTCTTTTATAAAGAATTGAAATTGAAATATCCTAATACATACATTTGAACTATACTCATCTCCAATTTGGTGATTTTAACACTAAAATTTGCCAACACTGAGATGATACTAAACAGAAAGCCCTTAAAGATACAAGAACTGGAGGTACAAAAATCACATGGGGGCTGGTGCTGTGGTGCTGCCAGTTAAAGCCAAGGCCTGCAACACCGGTATCTCACATAGGAGCCAGTTCGAGTCCCAGCTGCTCCACTTCTGATCCAGCTCCCTGCTAATGTACCTGGGAAAGCAGTGGATGATGGCCCAAGTCCTTTGGCCCCTGCACCCACGTGGGAGACCTGGAAGAAGCCCCAGCCCCTGGTTTCAGCCTGGCCTAGCCCAGTCATTGCAGACATTTTGGGAGTAAACCAACAGATGTAAGTGCTCTCTCTTTCTCTCTCTGTCTCTAATTCTGCCTTTCAAATAAATATATCTTTTTTTTAAAAAAAGTCACATGAAATCTATGATGTCATAAATGTATGTCCATGCAAAGCCCATGGACTAGAGCTGGCACTGTGGCATGGTGAGTTAAGCAGCCCCCTGCTATGCCAGGATCTTATATAGAGTGCTGATTCAAATCCAAGCTGTTCTGCTTCTGATCCAACTCCCTGCTAATGCACCTAGGAAAATAGTATATGGTGGTCTAACTGCCTGGGTACCTGCCACCCATGTGGGAGACCTGGATGGAGTTCTGGGCTCCTGGATTCTACCTGGCCCAGCCCAGATCATTGTGGCCATTTGAGGAGTGAACCAGGTAGCATATGGAAGACTTCTCTTTGTCTCTTCCTCTCTGTTACTCTGCCTTTCACATAAATAAAATAAATGTCAAAGATATGGACCATTTGACTTGATAACTGGAAAATTATAACCAAGCATACTGTGTCTCTTTATAATTACCTGGAACTTTTTGTATATTACTGATATCTCAAACAAAAATTTAAAAATGTGTTCAGAGACTAAAAGCATTGATAGCCAATCCACAGTTAATCATTATAAGTTTTATTTATTTATTTATTTATTTTTTGACAGGCAGAGTGGATAGTGAGAGAGAGACAGAGAGAAAGGTCTTCCTTTTGCTGTTGGTTCACCCTCCAATGGCCGCCACAGCTGGCGTGCTGCGGCTGGCGCACCACGCTGATCCGAAGGCAGGAGCCAGGTGCTTCTCCTGGTCTCCCATGGGGTGCAGGGCCTAAGCACTTGGGCCATCCTCCACTGCCTTCCCTGGCCACAGCAGAGAGCTGGCCTGGAAGAGGGGCAGCCGGGAAAGAATCTGGTGCCCCGACTGGGACTAGAACCTGGTGTGCCGGCGCTGCTAGGTGGAGGATTAGCCTAGTGAGCCGCGGCGCCGGCCAGTCATTATAAGTTAAATTCATTGAACTAAGCTATTTTTCCCATAAGGAATTATAATGGAATATTTACCTGAAAAATAACTTACATGTCTCATTAACCTCAAAGAGGTAATAAAAGAAGGGCAAAACGAATAGCAGCCCAAGCTTAACTAACAGAATAGCAATGTGTAAAAGAGGTATCACATTCTCTCCCTGAAATCATCACAGTCTGTTAACTTAAAAGTAGAACTAACAGCAATTTGATGCCAAAGACAATTTATACAGTAAATTCAAAACTGTCCATGTGAGAATCAAGAACGCTAAATATCAAAAAAGTACTTCTGAACCCACCATCCTCTCATTTCATTTGTTCTCAGGATGACTGACTAAATGAGACACATTGGTGATGCCATGTTTATTTGTATTAACTTCTACAAATGTATTGCTTTTTATCATTTGACAAAAAGTATGAAAGGTTACATTAGTATGCTTAGACTAACTTCTCACCTTCTTCCCTTCCCATATCTTTCACTTCAATTATAGCATGTCTCCAATCCAAGGCTATTGTTCTTTCCTGTTCTCTGACCATAATCTCTACATTGCTTTCAATTTTAGTCTTTCAGTTAACTAGGTTGGCAGGAAAAGGCAGTTTTTAAAAATGAACTCTTTCCTAAACAGAAAAAACATATCTTCCATGAACTGAAAACACAAATGCTTATTGCTAGTCCTTTGATTGGGACTTACTCTGAAAATTCATCTTAATAAGGACTTTCAATGCTGATATTTTTCATTTTCAAAATTATTTGTTGAGTTGATACTTGAATGATAGACTAATTGGATCTCAAATTCTTTATCCTACTTTATTTCCTTGAAGATTTGATGGAACTTGTTTTCTGGAGAAATCTAATATGTCTAATTTAACTCATGATATGTTTTCATCTGGGTATCTTTTTAAAGATTTATTTAATTGAGAGGCAGAGTTACAGGGAGAAAGAGGGAGAGACAGAGAGAGAGAGAGAGAGAGAGAGAGGCCTTCCATCTGCTGGTTCATTCCCCAAATGGCTGCAACAGCCAGAGCTGGGCGGATCTGAAGCCACAAGCTTCTTCCTGTTCTCCCATGTGGGTGTGGGGCCCAACACTTGGGCCATCTTCTACTGCTTTCTCAGGCCATCAGCAGGTAGCCAGATTGGAAGTGGAGCAGCCAGGACTTGAACCAGCACCTGTATGGATATATTAACATATGTAAAGGTCAGAACTCACAAAAATAATCAATTATAGATTGGAAAGTGGAGAAAGAAGATGTGTAAAAGAAAAATGTACTAATTTCATTACTTTCCCTGCCTTTAAAATAATTAAATAGCAACTTAAAAAAATAGAAAAAATAGTTTTCCACATGAGTACTGAAATATGGTCTACTATTAAATATAAATTAATAAATACTAATACATTAATACATTCGAATATCAGAACATTATACCAAGTTTAATTCCAGGAATTAAAGGAAGACTTAAGAAATCTAAAAATATAGGGGCCAGCCTTTTGGCATAGCGGTTTAAGCTACTGCCTACAATGCCGATATCCCATATGTGCATCGGTTCCCAGCTACTCCAGTGCCAATTCAGCTCCCTGTTGATGGCGTGGGAAAGCAGTGGAGGAAGGCCCAAGTGCTTGGGCCCCTTCCATGCATGTAGCAGACATAGGAGAACCTTCTGGCTCCTGGCTTCAGTCTGGCCCAGCCCTGGTCACTGTGGTCACTTTGGGAATGAACTAGCAGATGAAAGATCTCTGTTTCTCCCTCTCTCTCTTTCAAATAAATCTAAAATATATGTGAATATATATATATATAATGTATAAAAACTATATATAACTCAGTTCATCCCATTTACAAATCAAAAACAAAAAAGATCATTAAAATATGTTAATGTTGCTATTTGCTAAAATTCAACAAGCAGCCCCTAAAAATTAAGACTGAGTAAATACTTCTTGAATCAGAAATATTCAAAGACATGTATTGCTATCATTTTTTAACACCCCACAAATGTTTTAACCATATCATTGAAATAGATATAAAAGGTGGTAAGGATTAAAACAATGATCATTTGCAAACTGCAAATCTAGAAAACCTAAAACAATCAGCTCATGTGCTATTTTTAAATAAACAATTCAATCAATTACTTGGGGGAAATCAATTCAGCAAAATTAACAACACTTTATATATACAACTAAAAAACAAATTTAAAAGACCTCTATTACTTTTTTTTTTTTTTTTTTTTTGGACAGGCAGAGTGGACAGTGAGAGAGAGAGAGAAAGGTCTTCCTTTGCCATTGGTTCACTCCCCAGTGGTCGCTGGTGCCGGCACACCACGCTGATCCGAAGCCAGGAGCAGGTGCTTCTCCTGGTCTCCCATGTGGGTGTAGGGCCCAAGCACTTGGGCCATCCTCCACTGCCCTCCCAGGACACAGCAGAGAGCTGGCCTGGAAGAGGGGCAACCGGAACAGAATCCGGCACCCCGATCGGGACTAGAACCCGGTGTGCCGGCGTTGCAGGCGGAGGATTAGCCTAGTGAGCCGCAGCACTGGCCAAGACCTCTATTACTTATAACAGCAACAAGAAAAACAAAAGTCCTCGCAATAAATAGAAGACGTGGCAAAATCTGTACAAAGAAATCCTGAAATGCTATGATGCCGAATATGAACAAATGGGAATTATATGTGTTTTGTTTGGGTGGGGGGCAACAAACCAGCAAAATGAAATTCCAATTTATTGTTGGAGAACACTATTTCACACATACATCCAACAGGACAAAATAAATAAACAGCAACTTCATAGAACAAAAAGGGTAAGGGGTAAATCAAAATTTTGTCTTTAGTCTTAACTGTCTCATAAAACCAAATGCAGCACATCTAACCACATACACAAAGTTTCTAGAGTGCCTGGAATAACCTTTGTTATATTTTTTCCTGTTTTTTACAATTTTTTTTTCCTCCTGAGGGCACAGAATGACCATGGTCACACACACGGAGAACACGCCGCAGGCCGCCTTGGTCGAGATAAAGGATGGCCAACTGCTAATGCACACAAAAATACAACATGTAAATCAAAAACACAAATAAATCCTCCTAGTGGAGGATGGCCCAAATGCTTGGGCCCTGCACTGGCATGGGAGACCAGGAGAAGCACCTGGCTCCTGGTTTTGGATCGCAGGTCTCAGTGCGCTCGCTGTAGCGGCTGGGGGGTGAACCAATGGAAAAGGAAGACCTGTCTCTCTGTCTCTCTCTCTCACTGTCCACACTGCCTGTCAAAAAAAAAATGTACTCTTATTTTTCCAAAAGAGCAAAACCTTTTAAGTTTCGGTTCTGTATCCTTCATACTTTGCAGAACACTCAACTCTTCGGGTGCGGAACTCTTGTCACCGGGGCAGGGCAAAGGCATCACCGGTAGTGGTGGGCGGGCTTCTTGGCGGAAGCTGATTCAGTTCCCACTCCCAGACAGGAAGTGGAAGGCAGGGAGGCCACAGCCCTTTTTTCCAGTCTGGCTGTGCCTTTGCTGGCTAGTCAGTCATCCTGATTACTTCTGTAGCTGCCTCAGTTCCTCACCTACATCTCCACACTCTTCCTTCTCTACTTTCTTCATCTACCACATCTGTCGGCCCCTGTGCCCACTTCCCTCAGTAGTATTCATTAGCAGGGGCATCACTTCTGTTCTCTGCTTCCTCCTTTAAGTTTTCGGGGGTGACCTTAGCTGGTGTCCAGAGCCATGTGTGACAGGGTGGCTGGCCCATGCCAGTGATCTGGAGCCAGGGATAAAGCTAGGGGGCCCCACCGAGGTGGATGCATGGGATGAACAGTGCAGCAGACATGGCTTTTCAGAGCAGCCAGTGGGGCAGGAATTCTGACAAAGATGGCATTTTGCAAGTGTTGTTGGAAATGCTGATTAATTAACTAATGTATGGCATGAGGACTAGAAAAAATAATGATGGTACCCTACCTTAGTCTGCACTTCTATATTTTAAATCACATTTAAATATGAAAAACAAAATCACCAAATTATTAGAACAAAAACACTGGACAGTGTTTCTCACACTGATATTGAGAAAAAAGCCTGAAGGCATTATATGACTAACACTTTTACATCAAATCAATTTCAAACACACAAAAAACCCCGAAGTTAAAGTACACATGACAAGCTGGCAGATTCACCTGCATATCACAAAACACCTAACAAGTCCTACAGATTTGTAATACATAAGGAACTCTGCAGGCGTACACCTTCCGGATAGGTTAACGCCGGCGAGACCTCGGAGACACCAGACGCGTTTATCGGCTTTTCAGCTTCCACTTTATTTTTCAGCAGACTCGCGTTACATGTCGCGAACGCCCGCCCTGTTACCGGCATTCATTCACAACTCCTTCATTCACCACTCCTGCTTACTACTCGCATTCATTCATAGCTCCCGCCTGTTACCGGCGTTCATTCATAACTCCCGCCTGTTTCCGGCGTTCATTCACAACTCCGCCTGTTACCGGCGTTCATTCACAACTCCGCCTGTTACCGGCGTTCATTCACTCTCCGTCTTTTACCAGCGTTCATTCACTCCTCCGTCTTTTACCAGCGTTCATTCATCACTCCGCCTTTTACCAGCGTTCATTCATTACCCCGTCTTTTACCAGCGTTCATTCATTCCTCCGTCTTTTACCAGCATTCATTCACTCCTCCGTCTTTTACCAGCATTCATTCACTCCTCCGTCTTTTACCAGCATTCATTCACTCACCCGTCTTTTACCAGCGTTCATTCATCCACACCCGCCCACCGTCCACCTATTTATATATATATCATTCACGGAAAACATGTTACCAACTAAGTGTGGGAAACATGCAATAACAGGATGCTTAAAGTCAAAACAGGATCTTGCAATTAGCTACGGGCAGGGTGGAAAAAGCCCAGCACTAAACTTCTTGTGCTTGTACATGTCGGGAGGGTCACAGCTGGCCAGGCTGTCCCGTTCCCCGACATCTCCCCCTTATTTCTTTGCAAAATGGAGTGGTACTGTGCCTGTCTTAGGTGACCAAGAGCATCTATCAGGCTTACCCGTCATTGGCACATGAACATGAGGTGTGGAGGGAGCGTTCATGCCCTGTCTTAGGTTGCCTTGAAGACCTCTCAGAACTTACCCGTCTTTGACTACCATTCCAGCAGATTCAGCCACACCTGAATCTGTCCATTTTGCATGGGGTACTGGTTATTGAATATTAGCTGACTTGTTTAACCACCATTTGCGTATTAACAGCCCTTGCAAGATCCGAACAATAATTGATCCTGTTATTAACATGCTACCCAAAAGACGGGACTGATTAGCGGCAAATGAAAAGTGGTTATAGGGGTAGGTGGTAACACAAACTGCAGTAGATCGAATAACACAGGGTATGCCAACCAGGCCTAATCTTGCAATAAATCCGTTCAGCAATATATCATCAAGTGCCTGGGCGGTAGATCTTGTGATGCTATCAAGTATGGACAGTGTGGAGGTTTGGCTCACGGCTATGCCAATAGCGGCCTAACAAGCTGATAACGCCGCAATTACTGCAACGACGACCACGGTGACTCCAAAGTCTCTCCTGTGTTGAACGGCCATAGAGAAGTCCTTCTCAGGCAAATACACAACTGGAGAGGGAGAGGTAGGGCTCTCAAGAGACCCCAATACTCATCCAGCTTGGCCATCGTCGGTGACAGTGGCGTCATTATTAGTAGGAGTAGGATCACGATCATCTTGCCACTCTATTGTTCTTGTCCGTCTTTCTGGAGTCCAGATTGGATTTTTTTCTTCCTGTGGGAGAAGACAAACAGCGCCTCATACCCTTCTTATTAATGGGTATGGGCCTTTCCATTTGTTATCTTGTGGGTCTTTCCACATAATCATTTTTCTAACGTGTGGCTGAGCTTCTGTCGGTTCATGGGGTTTATTACTATTGGGGGTCTGTTAAGGGCATAGTGGGGTCACACCGCTGCATAGCGGTGCTCTTAAGGCGCTGTTCAAAATTTTTTAATACTGCTTTTGCCTCCTTTGTAAGTTGTCTGGGTGAATTTAGGCATGCATCGCCTTCCAGAAGTCGGAACAAAGGGTGCATTTCTTCAGTAGTCATTTTACAATAAGGCCGAATCCAGTTTAAATTTCCACACAATTTTTGTAAGTCATTTAAGGTTTTAACATGATGAGTGGA